CGATTTATTTCCACGCGGCTGTCATTTATTTAGTAACTGTGATTTGTCGTTTTTTTAATTAGTTTATAGTGATCACTATAGTCTGATGTTTAGAATGTCAAAATATGTTCTCTTTTATTTTAATTTTGAAAGTTTTACTCAGACGATCGATGAAATAAAACAGTGTAGTGACGTGCCTAGTAACCTGCTAAATAACGAGATCATTCCGACGTCAAATTCTATTTTGTCCAGCAACAGTGTACAAACGTGCGCCGCTGACGATCACGGTGACCAGCTACACCAGAACGGACATATTTCGCATCTAACTCAACCCCATGCAACAAAAATTGATACTATGTGTTCATTATGGTGCATTCTTTCTCGACAAACAAGTACATAAGTGACAATATAGTCAAAGACGAGAAAACTGCACAAGAAATTTGCTTTATTTACACGTATCGACAATGCAAGCTGCCATGCGACTTCCCCTTCTGACGTCACAAGGGGAATTTCTGTATGCAAATGAGAAGCTAATGAGGAGCCTCGTTTTAAAATACACAAAAATAAAGTTACCGTCGACTGAGTTTAAAACACATTTTTTCACTTAAAAAAATAATTCATGCTTAGAAACATAAAAATTAATAATATTTATGTATCAATTGATAATTTTAGGCGTGAAAATAGCAGCCATTTCACAGGCACTTTAACTGTGAAAACACATATCAACACAATAAATTGACCGGTATTTCTAATGTTGAACTTGACCCAGCTTGGATTATTTAGAAAATAGACAACAAGAGATAGTTAGATCTAAAATTGCATCGTTGTGAAATGTTATTATAGTGAGACTGATGTGAGATCAGAAGCAGGGAATCTCTCAGGAGTTTTCATTACATGTTTTATCAAAAACAGAAGGGAACGCATTCCACAATGTATTGCAGTATCAAAACTCCAAAATACCTACACAGCTGCTGCACTCTTTCCGTGTCATAGGACTCGACACATAGTCCTTGACTTGGTTCTCAACAGTGCCGCGACACGTTAAATTTCTAACAACCTGTTGAATCGAGGTTAAATTCATTAAACTAACAAAACACAGATTTATTACTATCATAGTGTGTTTTACTGTGTTTTACGGTCCATAATTCAGTCTGGGTTCGATAACGGCAACCTAGCAACCGGCGGCACAACTCCTAAAACTTGTTGATTTTGTCTTGATGCTCCCGATTTAATAACAGCGTTACCATGGCTTCCTGCAACACATACTTATTTTACCTACTTTGATGTGCATTTGAACTAGACTTATGATATAATATTCATAAACGTATTTGTATTAAACACATATTATGCTACTAGTATTTGTTACACGCCATCATAAAAATTACAGTTCAAAAATACAACATGGCTGCTCATGGAATTTAAAACATGGATACAGCTTTTGCTATAACCTATTAGAACCACACGTTTTAGACAGATAAAAAACAGCAGATGATGCATTGTGTGCCATTTTCGAAATTATCGCTGTTTCGATTAACTTTCAAACTCAACTTATGCCCGAGAAGAGTGTTACATCATGACACCATAAGCAACTTGTACGTTGTCCGTTTCCAAATATAATAAATATGTATATTGCAATTGCCAAAGCCGCTCAATTATTTTCCCGTTTTTACCGATCAACGTTACTACGGCAGTGGCGGGGGGGGGGGGGCAAGCTTCGCTTAACATGATTACGGAGCGAAAATCGCAGAGAAGCTATGCGTAATCCAGATGATCGGTATGGTCATGCGTTTGGGAAGGCATGCCCCCTGCCCCCCCCCCCCCCCCTCTGGATCCGCCACTGTACTACGGTGATTGTTTCTCAGGGCATAATATACCGTGCCTTCAAGCTGGATGATGAATAATAGTATGTCTCAAATAGGGATGACAAAGGAACTGGCTAAAATTCGTTTACTAACGAGCTGAGCTTTGATGAATCTTGGTTTAATGTCACAAATACACGTTGACACCGGGATAGGATATTCAATAAGAATAATCCAGTTATGATAGGAAGATGTTTTCACAGCACTGCCTCGACAATTTGCACGCGAGGACTACCTGTAATTACATACATGTGTCATCTTTGTCTGAAGTTGACAAACAACACTGAGAATATATTATGAAGAAATATTGATGTTTGAAAATTAAGTTGTTAAGAAAAAATATTGTTATCCTAGCAGTCCGAGCGTAAAACGAGAAAAAAAAAGATTTTCTGTTTGTCATGTCAATCATGAGTTTTTGGCAATACAAGTACTTGACTTAAGCGTTTAGGGATATTTCTCGAGAAAGCTAGTGGTCCCTTTTTCCCAAAAAACATCACTTACCTTTTTGGATCTAACCAAACAGATTCACTTTCGGGTAATTTCGTTGACTGTTTTTCTATAATGCTTGAAATACCACCACAAATTACCGAAATGAGTCTCAGTCGTAGGCGCACTGGTCAATATTGTTCTCCAGCGTGCAATTGAATTTGTAAATATACCAGTGCTTAACTGTGTTCATTTATATTCAAATTAGAAAAAAAATCTATTTGTAATTAAGCTTGCCTCAAATGTTTCACAAATCAAATCTAAGTTAATCCAAATATATCAAATGTATCAAATATAGTAGTCATGCCATGGAGCTCCTTGGCGCTCGTAATGGACATCCGCAAAGCCTGGTCACGGTAATTTGGTCGAGATTTTAACGTTTTGGCAAGAATGTAACCCATTTTAACAACTAAATCTCAATTACTTCCCATTTTGACTGTACATGTCGTTATCCTGCGTGAAGTTTCTCCCTGTGGAACTAAGAGCTATTTCTTTCCAACACGTTGAGACGTTCGTATCGCCGACATGCGAACGTACTCAATTTTTCTGTCCCTGTTATTCTAAAGTGTGTTGAGTATATAGTTTGTTTCAAAACGTCTGCATTTTACGATACTAAAAGTGTCCATGGAATCAAATAGCGATGGGATAATTGTTTTGCAGATATTATACATCAAAGAATAAATGTCACAATAAATGTCACAATAAATATCACAATAAATATCACAATAAATGTCACAATAAATGTCACAATAAATATCACGACTTTGTGCCTTTTATTGAGAACGTGGTCCATAACATAGTGGGACTGAGGTCTTACTTGATTAATTCATGGAACCCAACAAACTCTAGTTCCATGATTAATTAGTCTTGTCGGTTTTATTTTTAGGCCATGGTATGGTAATGTTCAGATACGTCTTGACAAACTGAGAAGAGAGATATGAAGTTGATTCGTACTTTTTTGATCGAAAACTTCCCGGAGTCAGTACTTCTTTAAAACGAGATAAAACAAGTTTATGCTTAGCTACATACGCATACTCTAGTATTCGGCATGAGAAACAAACCTCTAAACTTGAGCAAAATATAGTATACAAAATAAGTATTAACAATTGACGTAGAATTTGGATTTACCAAAAATCGACTGTGAAGGATATTGATGGAACCATATATCATAGGAAACTGGATCGGGTATATGCACAGTTACTTGCTAGAACCTCATGTACGAACACATACCTTTAATTAATAGACCATCCAATTCAAAGACTCGGCGATACACTACCTGTGACAACAATCTAATTAAAAAAAGTGTGGGTGTCCTTCGCAAACATAATTTGCGTATCTTAATTCAATCTCAGGGATAAATGTCTAAACAAATAGCTTGTCAATAATGTACACTCTTATAATTACTGATGGAGTGACGCTGGGTGGCGCGGGGGATGACGGAAACGTCACGAGTATGACATTATAAACATCCATCCATCTAACGAAACTCAACGCTTCCTGTGCAGATATATAATACACTGTTATATTTTCTCTTTGTTTCACGTTCATTTTTTGACATCTGACTCCACCCTGCTTCAAACATTGGCTTGGTCAATGTTGAATGAAAATACAACGCCTCAGAGCACGTGTTTAAATATGTAGAAGTAATGTACATATTTAGTTGGTACTTAAGTTTTGGTTTCCCTAGCTGGTTGAATGAGAGCAAAGTACGAACTATCGACTGAAATCAATCAATCATCGCTGCATCCCACGCATACAAAGCAAGGGTATTGGATTAGTTGTGTTATATTTGTGTTAAAGACGATGTTGGCAATCGCGCGTCCAGGTTTAGTGAATTTCCACGTGGCCTAACACCTGTAGTATAACGGGAAGGGTCAATGTTAAGTGAGATAGGGAGCTCGGCAAGAGTTTCCACTCATTTGATCTGGACGTCGCAACTACAATTTTCAACAGGTTCCGCTTGCTTTGTAAGAGAGCGGGGACGTTTCAGACTAACGTGTGAACATAACAATAGTCGTATACTAACTAAACATATGTAGATATTTGTGCGGAGATCAACAGCCGTAAGAGATTTTTGGCGATATTTTCGATCATACGTATTACTATCGGAGAGCACACGCGCAAATAAGCTGTGTACCCCACCTGAACAATGGAACACTCATTAAACTGCCTGGCCATTGTCGGTCGTAAATCATCTGAGCTTTGGCGGAACTCGACACCTTTTAGGCACCTTATCAATGTTGTTATTTTAAAAGCATAATACGTTTATCGTTTTACCAAAGCACCAAAATCTTCACAGTTTATTCAACGTAAGCCAATGGACGATTTGATTTAGTGCAATTGCCGGTAGTACCACATCGTCCACAGCGAGGATCACGTCCGTTACAAGTTGGTCATTCATATTTCCTGCTATGACAAAGGCACCATGACTCTACTTTTCCCAGGTGTTACAACTAGATCTTCTACTGGTTGAAACAAAAACAAAATTGATATACGAAGTATTTCGAAGTTTATCGTTCCATTTTTATCCGTGACCTGTTTCTATGATTCCATCGAATTTCAATACGTAGGATGGTCCAGTAATGGATACGCTGGGCACCATTACACAACTCTCTTCTACAAGGGATCTGCCGGGCTTCACCTGCTACGAAGTTCAACTAACGGACAATGTGTCAAATATGAGTACATGTAGCCTGAATTGGACGGAAACTCAGTGCAGACCATCGAAGATATCGCACGTCATCGCGGAAGGGATAGAGCATGAAGATGTCAGCGACGACGACGATGGCGGTAAGTTGTATAATCCAGAACAGTTAACGACTGTTAGGTAGAAAAATTGAACATTGTTTCGTGATTCACATCTCATATATAGGGAAAAGGTTATTATAGCTCGTTTTAAAGATACTCCTGCATCCATAGAAACAATTATAATTCAATGATAATTGCACTGTTGTCTGCATACACGGACCGTACAATGCTTTATCAGATTACTAGTACTTTTTTTTTATTCAGTTTTATTTATTGAAGTCTCCTCATATTAAATCAAGGTTGGTTAGTTTCATGAACATCGAGGCGATTGGTTCAATAGTAGTAACCTACGACAACCCTCAAACGTATGTGTTCAGTTAGGCAGACTGTACACATGTACTACATATACAGTCGTTGTCGAACAATGGAGGAGATATGTCAATACAATTTCATCAGTCATTTTCAAATCTTTACTTTTACTTCCCTTTTTTCGTTATAAAAAGCAGATAATAATAACTAACACGATGTCAAATACACTTGGCTGGAATACGACTTAATAAATAAGGGCGGACAATTTATCCCATCTTTTTTCGTTATAAAACGCAAA